CCAATGGTCCCATCCAGCCCCTCTGCCTGTGGTGCTGCGGCTCCTGTTGCAGCTCGGGGCTTTGCAGGGCTCCCTGCTAGATTGGGGATGAGCGTGGTGGGGGCTGCCCCCAGCACCCACCTGCCACTGACCCCTGGCCAGGCTGTCGGTGGCTGTCCCAGCCACCCTCAGGCTGGTCCCATGCCGGGGTAGGTGGTGGGTCAGGCTGAGCCGAGACCCCGACCCTGGGCCCCGCGAGTGGGAGGGCGGCCACATGCGGGGTGGTGCGAGGTGCAGAGCCCCCGGGGCCGCCCCCCGCGCACTTACCCCAGAGCAGCAGGAGCCCTTGGGAGAGGTGGCCGGAGCTTGTGTGTGCGAGCGGTGCCATCCTGCCAAAGCCTGCCGGCTAACGACCGGGACAAGGATTTCAATGGAAATAACAGGAAGCAACTCCTTTCCTCTGACAGGGGCAGTTTGACTACAGGAGACGTGTGAAAAATGAGATTGCTCAGCGCTGCTCTGAAGCGGCTCTGCCGGCGGGACTCCGCCGTGCCGCGCGGTGCCGGCCCCCGCGGGCATTGCTCCGGCGCCCCAGCACCCGCGACACCCGTGCCTCACCCGCTGGCCCGGAGGCTCTGCTCCCCGCACGGCACGTCCAGCCTTACGAGGCTGCGATTTGTTTACTTGTGTATTTCTCTTTAATCCTGTCTGGGCTGGGTTGTGAAATCCCTCGTCTCCTGCGTGGAGGGCAGGCAGCCCAGCAGCGGGGGGAGTGGACGGGGAAGCACAATGTCCCCAGACGGGCGCTGCCGCCCAGGGATGGGGGAGGCTGGGGGACCAATGGCCCCAACATCTGCCCCACGGGCGGCACAGCTGGGGCAGCTCCAGCCCCTGCCCAGGCCCGCGGCCGAGGAGGGAAGGGTGATGACGTGACCTGCCCACAGGCACGAGGCCGAGGAGGTGGGGAGAGGGCAGAGACTTGGCCGACCCTGACAGTCCTTGGCCCCAACGCCTTCCTCCTGCACCGCCCAGCCCGGTGCCTGCCCAACTCTGCTGGAGCCCCCTATTCCTGGAGCAGATCCCGCCCAGGGGCCCATGTCCCCCAACTGAGGGTGACCCCAGCCCATGGGTCCGCAGCATTCCCTCATAGGACCAGGCTGAGGCCAGGTGAGCTCGTTTCACCCCTGGCCAGGGGCAGAGTACAGCTCAAAGCCTCCCCTTTAACAGCCATCTGTAGACGTGCAGAGTGGGGACTGGATTGCAGTGAAGCACAGCTCAGAGGGACCCTGCCTGCTGTGGAAAGAAGATTAGTCCAGTCTTTAGCTCCCCAGCAGAGGTTCTGGGGAGCTGTCTGATGCCCCCCAGGCCACAGCAGCCATCACTCCAGGGCACCACGGGACCTTCTGCAGATGAGTGGTCACATCTGGAAGCTATCCCCGGCACTCCAGTGGCCATAGGGCTGGAGCCCCCCAGTTCCACTCTTTGGTGGAGCCAGCAGAGCCTCCGGCTGGGTGGCAGGAGCCTCTGCCAGGGAGACACCCAATGATCTCAGCACGGCCC